TTTTTAGGGTTAAAATTTCAAAGATAAAGAGTAGGGGTGAGCAAATGGGTAGGTTCTACCCAGAACCAAATGGAACCGACTTTCAAACCGGCCTTGAACCGACCCTACCCAATTTGTTACAGGGTAGGGTTTGGGTCCAAATTCTTGGAACCGACCCCCACCAAAGCCGGTTTTAGGGTATAGGGTTTACCCTACCTGAATTGATCCGGTGAACTGGCCTTGGATGGCCTTGGTGGAACCGACCTTGTTGGAACTAAACTTGCTTTGAAATAAACCCTAAAATATTTTTTGGGATGAGAAGATTTAAACCCATGAGCATTCATGGTTACAAAGGAAATATTTTTTGAATGTGTACAATAAATAATTTATTAGATGTGTAAAATATGTAGTGAAGATTTCAACTCCATAATATTTTTTGAATGTGTACAATAAATAGTGTAAAAGGTAATATTTACAAAATTTAAATTTAGTTTATAAGTTTTTAATCATGTAATGATAATCTGCATATTAAGTTATCTATTTTAATCAATAAAGATAATACAGGTTTTAAACTATATATATATATATATATATATCTATTAAAAAACAAGTTTTCAAAGAACATTCTTTTCTTTTGTGAAGGGGGAGAGTAAAGAAAGTATAGGTTCCATGGGTAGACCCTGGAACCACCAAGGCTAGAACAAACCCTAGAACCGACCTTCACAAGGTAGGTTCCAGGTTCTGCCATGGAACTGAACTGAACCGGCCCATGCTCACTCCTAATAAAGAGTACACTTGGATGGAAATAAATCAAGTTAACAACCCTCGGATGGGAATAAGTATTAACTCTATATTCTCTAAGGCCTAAAGGTTACTTTGGCTCGGGTAGACATTGGTCTGGGCTCGAGTTTCTTGGGCTTGGGTAGATATCAGTCTGGGCTCGAATTCAACAATGATTAGGCCCGAGCCCCAACCCAAAATTTTAAAAAGCCTGATTTTCTGGGCCTGGCCCTAGCCCAAGGACCTAAAAAACTAAGCCCACCTTATGTAAATTTTCGGTCTAGGCCAGTCCGGTCTTAGGTTGGGTCCACCCAAGTTGCATCCCTATGCATTCATCTCCATTGAATCATATATTTAAGGCATTTTTGTTTCTTTTTATTATCAAATTTTATTAATTAAATCCATACATAATAAATTAATAATCTTAATAAGATAAAAAACTTATACTYTTAAAATCTACATGGAAAAATAGTGTTTTCATCTAGGTGGTGGTAAGAAGTTAAACAATTTTAGGTCAAATGAATCAATCCATGTAAAACAATTAAATAATAAAATGAAAAAGAATTGGGAACATTTTTAACATCATATCTTCAATATATTAAACAATAATAAGTGTGTTTAATAATAAATATTTTTACTAATGATGGAAATGGAATGTAAAATTTAAAAACATTTGGAAATAAAACTATTTTCCTATTCTCTCTCGTTAAATCTCATATGTAGGATATATTTTTTCATTAATTCCTAGCTTTAACATATATTTTCTCATCATTAAATTCTACTAATTAAATCCACAATATTAATTTTAATAATATAAAAATAAATATATTAAAATCTCATTTGCAAACAAAACCATTTTCTTCCCCCATAGTGGTGGGTAATTAAGCAATTCAACCATTTTGTATTAAATGGGTTAATAACTAGTGTCAAAATAAAATAAATAAATTATATATTAAAAATAAAGAATTTGGCATATCTTTAATATTGTATGTTCATTATACTAAACAAAAATAAGTATGAAATGTAAGACGTATTTTTTTATAAATGATAAAAATGGAATGCTAAATTTAAAATCTATGTAGTAATGAAATGATGTCATAGTCAAATAATAAATTTTTTAAAGACAGAAAAATACAAAGAATTACAAAAAAAAGGATAACAATTTTGGGACATATCTAATGTTATATATTTATAAAAAATAAAAATTGGGTACAACGTGTAATATTATATGTTCATTATATTGAACAAAAATAAGTATTATACATAAGAAATAATTTTGTCAATGATGAAAATATAATACAAAATTTAATATCGAGATAGAAATCAAACTATGTTCCTTTTTGGGTGGTGGATTAGTGGTTTAGGTCAAATGATATGTCATGGTCAAATAAAAATTAAGTGTGACGAGTAAAAGATATTTATATAATGTAGATGAAATATATATTAAAACTTATTCGGAAGTAAAGCTATTTTCTTATCTAGAAGGTGGGTCAATGATCAAACATTTTCAAAGAAATTCATGATGTCATAATTGAATAATAAATATTAAAAAAATATAGAATATAAAAAATAAATAAGTACAAAATTTTGTCGAAAACATTTAGAACATCTTTAATGTTATATATTAATCATTTTAACTAAATAGTTGTTAAAATAAAAATAATATTTATTTATGACAAAAATGGAATACAAAATTTGTTATTATTATTATTACTATTATTATTATTATTATTATTATTATTATTGTTGTTGTTGTTGTTGTTGTTGTTGTTGTTGTTGTAATTTAAAATTTCCATGTGGAATAGCATGTGTGCATTACTATAAGCATTTAAGTTTATTTTTAATCATATTATTAGGTTTGTTAGTTTTCAATTTCTATCTTAACTATGATATATCTAAAGTTCAAGTAATTAATATGAAGAAAAATTTCTCATATTAATTACTAGTTTACTTAAAAGTTGTGGGTCAATGATCCAACATTTAAAACAAAACTCATGATGTCATAGTTGAATAATAAATATTAAAAAATATATAGAACACAAAAAAAGAAAAAAGTATAGGATTTTGTGGAAAGCATTTGGAATATCTTTAATGTTATATAATCATCATATTAAAAAATAGTTGTTAAAATAAAAATTATGTTTATTTATGACATAAATGGAATAATAATAATAATAATAATAATAATAATAATAATAATAACAACAACAACAACAACAATAATAATAATAATAATAATAATAATAATAATTGTTATTGTAATTTAAATATTCCACATGCGCATTTACTATAAATATTTAAGTTTATTTTTAATAATATTATTGTGTTTGTTAATTTTTAGTTTCTATCTTAAGTATGATATATCTAAAGTTCAAGTAATTAATATGAAGAAAAATTTCTCACGTTCAACACATGTTCTTAAATACTAGCATACTTAAAACTTGTATTGCATCTCTTAAATAAAGTTGACTTATATGTCTTGTCTTTAGGTGGAGGTGGTGTTGTACAACATACTCCGAACACAAAATCAATTGCTATTATAGAGCAAATACCGGATATGCTCCTCCCACATGACGCCTCACATTGACCTCATAGACACATCCCACTGTGCATTGGGAACATCTCCCATACTTATGTGTTACTAGTGGTGATTTGTGTGATGCACGGGATGTTGTATTTATAATTTTTTACGTGTAGAGTAGTAGAAAAAGATTTATTTTTTYCCCTTTTAGTTATTGATCTTCAAACTTTCATTTTTATATAATTTATATATTATGAGAAGCGTATAAACCAAGTGATAGCGGTTCAATTAATACCTTATCTAATTAGTTGTAGTAGAGACTTTTGGGTTGGGGCAATTGGTTAGCATGAGATTAATAACAAAGTTAAAAAAAAAGTCAAAATTAAACTGATGAAGATAACCAAAAACTCACATTTAGTTATTCTTACTACATTTTATTATTGAACAAGAACATTCCATTAAACAAATCTACATTAAATTAAAATAATAAAAACAAATGAAAAAACTTGAACCCAAGGAAAGCAGCAAAATAGAGGAAAAAAACGGATAACTCAAAGAAAGGAGATATGATTTGTTTAGATTGGTTCACCCTATGCACTAGTGGGCAAATTTGAGTTTTTAGACATTAATTTGGGCCAAAGCAAAAGCTCATTAGATTCATTCTTATTCTAACCCAACCCATATAATTTACACCATACTTTATTAGAGAGAGAGAGTTGAAAGGGATTAAGGGACATTTAAGAGGAAATGCTACAAACATTGAATGAGAGAGAGAGAGAGAGA